TCGTTGAAAATCAAAATAACTTAATAACACAAAGTGCTGTGTCCACGAATATAGAGTTTAATTTCATACTTGTTGTTTTATGGAACGTTACTTTAATTACTAATTGTACGGAAATCAGACATCTTGTCTACCTTAATAACGTCCTACACATTCCTTACAACATGTATTATATGGCCTTTCTTTATTAAGTACTTGTTACTTAGATCCTTAAAATATTCTATCGTATTGTAAAGTTTAATCTATATATATATATATATACATATATATATATGTATAAGGGATATTTTGAAAAAAAACCAGAACAAATTACTTTTACATACGTTTAATTATTTATTAATTATCGATAAATTATTTATAGAATACGAAAATTGGGTTATATCGTTGCTGTTACTTTATTGGGTGTATCTAAATGTCTCAATGAACTGGAAACTTTATATCAAGTAAAATGTTCGGGAATATAGGAAAAAGAGGTTGAAGAATCTTTGTTATTTATTGAGATTTTAATCAAATAGATTGTGCCCACTAAATATATTTTTACATATGTGAAAGTTGTTTAAATTGATTGAAATGATTATTACATACCTTTATTATATAGCATTGAACAATAGAATACTTCATTTTGTATAAAAGAAGTAAGAAAGAAATGTTTAAATTTTATAAATACGAGTTGGTAAATTTGTACGTTTGTAAGCAGCAATAAGAAAAGTGACAAATAAAAATTTAGTTTACTCATAACAAAATCTCTTTCACTGCGACGATGAATATAAAAATTTCTTCACGACAATTAAATTACTTATAACAAATTTTCCAGACTTTGTAAACCAATAGCCCTCAATAATGTTTCACCTAAAATTTCGAAATTATAATCTATTAATCTTATTCTGATTAGATAAGATTATTTTTGACTTCGAAAAATAAAAGATACATTAGAAAGGAAGCATTGAAACAATGTAAAACGCACCTTCAGATCTATATGTTGCAATTGGATCTGTTGGAAATGAACAACCAAGGTTGATCTCAGATGTACAATATGTTCCAACTAATTTTGCCACGAATATGGCATCCATAATTTCTATGTTCGATCTATACATCAATCTAGCGTGTCCTTCGGCTAGTCTGAAAATAATTTTATGCTAAATATTGTAAAAATAGCTTTAAATGTTTTGTCTCTTGTTACCTAATAAGACTGTCTAAAAGTCGAACCGTTGTTCTTTCTTCCCTTCTATCTGGATGGGATCTGTGATAAAGATAAGTCGCTCTGAGCACCATTTCTGCTTCTTTTGTTAATTTTGGTTCCAGGGAATGCACGTATGCCAAATACTCTCGTAAAGTATCCTCTTTCCATAGACATTCGGTTTTTAAAAGCTCAATATGAGTTTTTGAATCTCTGTGAATGCAACAACCGCTTTAATTAAAAATCAACAACGTGCTAAAATATTCAACTGCACCAATTTTTATTACGTTTGAGCAATATTTTCTTTCTTCTCAACAGCAGCCTTTAAAATATGTTCAGATGTCAACCTGTCCCACTCTGAATTTCTGTTATCCTTCATAAGCAAAATTAAATCGAAACGCGATAAAAGCGGATCCCCCAAATTCGTTTCCCATTCTTCATCCTCGGTGAACTGACCACCGGTTGGATTAATGGCTGCAATCACTGAACATCTTGAGTTTAATGTACTAACTAATCCAGCTTTAGCAATTGATATTGTTTGCTGTTCCATGGCCTCATGAACGGATGTCCTATCCTGTGAGCTCATAGTTGTGAATTCATCCACGCAACAAACTCCTCCATCTGCTAATACTAGAGCTCCACCTTCTAGATGCCAACCTTCTGAATCCTATGAAGTGCACGCTATTAAGAAAATTATGTAGATATTAACTGTTAAGGACAGAAGATGGTGTATATCGACTAACCCTGACAGCAGTAGCTGTGAGTCCCGCTGCAGTCGATCCGACACCAGTTGTAAGAACTGATCTTATAGCCAAACGTGACGCTGCACGAAGTAGCTGGGATTTACCAGTTCCAGGATCTCCGACTAAGAGAAGATGAGGTTCTCCTCGTACACGTGTTCCTTATTTTATTTAAAGTTATTGTATGTTATATTGGGAAAATAATAAAAGAAAAAAGAAATAATAATAAGAACAGTTACCACTTTCATTACACTTGGGCACACCACCAGCTAAAACAACAGCTAGCGCCAGTTTTGCAGTATACATACCATAAAGCTTTAATTTAATTTTTATATATATTATCTTTCTTTTTTAATTTTTTTATTATTATACGTTATACGTAAATATATACCTGTGGGCAAATAGATGCGAGAATGTTGTCTCTACCCAGCAAAGGATTATCGTTGTAGTTTTCCCAATATCGCTTAAAAACATCTTTCATTTCTTGCGAAGAGGATGTGTCGGAAATTTTACGCCGTACTACAATGCTATTTGCTAACATCATAGTTGATGCTTCTAAACGTTCATCAACTTCCAAGGGACCCCAAATTCTTATTACAACACCGCTAGAAGTGTACAGTATATTATAATATAAATTATAAAGAGAAGGCTAATTTGTAATATGCACTACTGGTAAATAATTGTTCACCTGATCTCAACATGATCTCCTGGTCTACATTTATCAACTAAATCATCTAGAAGGATAATTCTCAATTCCTCGGTTAAGGACCTATTTGTTTCACCTCTATATTTTTCCTAGTCAAGAGTATTAAAGGTGAGTGATGTTAACACAAATGACAATTATTAAATCATATGGATTAATTTACTTGTAGTCCTATTTCTTGACAATCCGAGGAATCCTCTAGATCAAAACCAGTTAGGACTTTCAGCTTTGGTGTATGACATGCCTCACATTCTATAATATCTGCAAAACTCTGTCTCTCCCATTCATACTATAAACAAATAATACATAAACTGCCAGCTAGTAAAAGTTACAACATATATATATAATCTCTTCAACTAACATTGGCTAGTGTAACATGTTTGCACTTTCTACAGATATATCTCTGTACAGATTTTAATATTGTTGGTTGCGAAATTCTGACAATAATGCCACTCATCGAAACTAGTTGTCCAATTTGTCCCTGATCCAGTGCGAGTGGTACAGCAGTGATTCTAATACGAATCTACTCGCATATATTTGCAAAATAAAACCATGAGAATACTAAAAAATAAAAAGAGGATTCAATAACAATTTTACGTTTGACGCCATTACCTTTTTCTTTACAACTTGTTCTGGTTTCGCTATTTCTTCTTGCGCTTTAACTGCTGCTTCGTGGCACAATGGTAAATAATATCTAGGATAACGCAAAATTTTCTGTGCTATGTCGGCATCTTCCCCAAATAGTGACACGAAGCTGGAATAAAAATATCTTTCGTATTATACGAAAAATAAACGCAATGTTAAAACACTTACTTTACATAAATCGAATAATAGCAACTGGCATCTATATTATCCAAAATTTCTTCCAATTCCTCTTGGTGGTTTTGTAATAAATATTTTTCCAACATTTTACGCGTTTATTCATGGAAAGTAGAAATTGAGGTTATAAACACACGTACCGCGCACGCTGCTACACGTGCTACTAGCTTCCCGCTGAAACTGTCAAAATCACGTGTTCCCCAATCAGCACGTGGTTCCATTGCTTTTTTGGAGTACGAATTTTAAACGCAATATTTATAATTAAAAAAAAAGTACAATCAAAATCAACCTATCATATTGGTACTCGTATAATATTTCACATATTTCACGTATAATGCATAATTCAATTCACGAAACAATAAACGAAATAATATAAAACAATTAACGAAATACAAATATATAAAAAGAAATAAAAATTTATAACAACTAATAAAATTTTCTTCGACCATTGAACGGCAGTAATATTCAATATTCTGTAAAATATAGGGTGTACTTAAAGCTCGAATTATCTTTTTAAAGGGATACGAATATTTTACGCGTACTGGCACAGTCGCAATTCGAGTTCTTCGAATTTTACGTTCAATGAATTCCTTTACCATCCAGTGCCGATTTAATAAAAGAACCGTATCGATTGCTTGTCGTAAAACCGCATTGGCAGTTCACCCATTAATCGATCCTCGCGTCTTCCTACCCATCTCGTAATTCTGTTCTCGTGGTTTCGCGCGGAACCCTTGCGGTAAAACTTGTTCCGCAACAGTGAAAACCTTTTCGGTGTCTACCTTTCATCTGAAAACCCTCGACGTTCCATTAATCCGGCGTTTAAAACAGAAGCGTAGCCATGTCAGTAAAAAGTGTAAATAAAACGTGCGGATAAAAATCAGGAGTACTCCTTTCTTCTCCATTACGCGGAGAAAGGACTCGCGGGTACATTTTCCTGGAAAAATCTTCGAAACAGTTCCGAATCGTTCATAGAGCGTTTGCCACGAGCTCGGCTCGGGGAATTGCGAATAATTCTGACCGCAGGAGTTGCGTTTTATCCGAAGCGGAGGTCGTTTGTTCGCGTTTCAAGTAACGCGAGTTGAACACACGACGCCTGTACCGGTGTTACGATATCATTGGTAACGATTCCCTTTACGACCTCTTCCTAAGTTATAAATTACTCGTCGGGATTCAGCGTGGGTGGAAATCGATGCAATTAGCGTGGCTGTGTGCGCGGCAAATACACGCCTGCACACGTTCCTACGTATAATTGCCGGGTGCAGGATCAAAAGTTGCCTGGTCGGTTTCGCCGCCAGGAATAGAATAACTCTCGCGTACCTTCCAACCCCTAACTTGCACTCGTCTCGAGAACGCAAGAATCCCGTAATTCACCGTCATCGTACTCGAACTTTGGCCTTTGTTAACGTTCCAGGAATATCGCGAAGGTATGGAAGAAAATAACTCGTTTGGAGGAAGAAAATCCTTAAAAGCAAGCTGCGCTCGATATTTCTCCTCGAGAGGTGTCTGGTCTAGTTAGAGCGGCGAATTTTTCCGCCGGAGAAAACGTCGCGAGACGTAAAATTTCCCTTGTCAATAGCTCGGACAAGTGTAAATTGTCGACACCGGGATCGTGTGTGTACACCGCATTTCCTGCGAGCGCGATTCTATGTAAGTTGTCAGCGACAGGCAACGGTGGAAGGTTTCCAGGTGAAATTACTGCGAGTCGCGTATAGTCGTCGCGCCAGGAACGTGTCGGCTAACGCTCGTGGTACACGGTTTACTTTGATTTTTCCATAAGCAACAATAACGAAGCGAAAGGTAAACGAGACCCCGCGCGGTGTCGTAAATAAAATTCAAATTGAAATCGGGATAATTAAAAAGACGCTCGACCGAAACGGTAGAACGGGTTCGTATATGGACGCGCGGTATTCATAATTTCAAAAGCGTGTGCTAATTAAAATGGAATTGCGAAACATCATACGCTTTATAGAATTTCTGTCGCTCCTTTAACAAGTAGCTTTTACTATTTAAATGCAATGAACGTGCGCGGAATGAGCCGTTAATTATTCAGAAACCTCTTAAATTCGAACCTGCGGGAACATGTAAATTCGCAATTACGCGTATGACTTCGGAAATAAACGGTGCAGCACGTTCTGCGTTGCTCGGAATAATTCAACGCGATCTTTGTTCTTCGAGAAGCTTCATCTTCGATCAGCGGAATTTCGTTTAATTCGTCCCGGGGTTTCGTTGATCTCGCAAATTGCGCTCAACCCCTTCGAGTATCTCTTTCGACCACGTTTAAATATTTATTTAAATATTTACGAGAGAAAGTAAATATCGGAAAATCAAAACCACTACGTTGCCACGCTTTTTCGTAGTTTCGATGCATCCCTCTTTCGGTAATTTCGCGAAGACGAGGAATAAAACAGCCCTTGCACGAGGAGCAAAAGCGTAAGCAAGAGAGGCGACGATCCGAGAGGGGAGATCCGGGAAAAAGAGGGCGACGAAGACAAGCTCGGAGGGTTGGGGCATCTTGTCCGGCAAGGATTCCACGTCGTATGAGGTCCTACGGTTTAATAATACATCCTAGGACCGTTAATCACCGTGTGAAATATAATTTAATACCCGAGCGAGCGAGGGCCGACCACTAAAAATGACGAACGACCAGGAAACACGCGGCGGACTCGCCAGCCAGCCCCTTCAACGCGTCGCTATAGTCAGCCCACACCGGTGGACGTGCAATAACGATAAAGGGTTGGGTATTCCTAGACGAGTCTTTTGGTGTGACCGCTCGTGAAAGCCGTACTGGCTGCCTGTGCATTACATTCGTCCACTGCGCCGTGCTCAATAGCCCCAATTCGCAGGATTCCTTCGCACACAAAGGCTACCCACAACTCGTTCCCTCTTCATCCCCTTTTTACCCGTCCCTTCTCTATCTTCCCACTTTTCCACCCTTCTATCGCACCCTGCCCTCTCGTCCTAGGTGACACACGAGCTCCGCACGTCGGACGTATCGATTGCGTTGATCTGGCCAGTTGGATCCACGAAGTCACTCGATCGAAAAATCCTCATCTCTTTTCCACTACTCGGCTGATCGCATTGACGAACCTCGTCGTCCTGTTCCTCTTCTTTTCTCACCGAGTCTGCCTCGTCTGGCCGATGACGGCCAACGAAATCGGGTTAATGTCCACGACAATGACCACGATTTCGTCCAATGAAAGCGTTCACCGACGATCTTCCTTCCGGCGCGCTTTTTATCCGCACCGAACTGGTTAACTGGCAATTGCGGAGGGGTGGTTACGCTGTAATGGGCTGCCATGTACAAGGTGTTCGCCACCGTCCCGGAACTCTCGTTACAATTCTTTTAACGAGATCTTTTCACCGACTGGCCCGGGTCCGTTTGCTGCCAGAGAGCCATCGAGTTTCGTGATGTTTTCATGTTGTCTTTTAATTTCCTTACTCGGTAATTTAGCACCTGTACTTACTGTTCCATGTTGTGACAGGTGGCAGATGAAAATGGGGAATATATAGCCCGAGAATGTAAATAATCAAACACGGAGGAGGTAAATGAATAAACCAAATGATCGGAAGGGAACGGCTGTGTTAGATATTGAATTCGTTCATTATCGACGATACGTAGAGTCTATGAACAATTGGCTAGCGTCTCTACCAGCGTTCGAAACATTATTGCCTGATCCTTTCGTGTCTACCGTAACGAATCGCCCGAAAGAGGGTAAAGTCTTCCATAGTTTATCGTAATAGCTATAAATAAAGGTATTAGCGTGGTCGCGAAGGAACCTCTCGATCGTGCAGACCTTCCAGACTTCCCCAGTTTCTACATAAATTGCCGAAATATCCACACGAGCTGTCGAACGTGAGCCAGCGCGTAGCAGGGGTTCTTTAGACGAGGTAATAAAGATATAAGGCGGCGTTTTATAGGCTGACGTCGTAGTTAGGTTGAAAAGCGGTCGGTAAATGTCATTAGCGATGGCTACGAATAATGCTCGAGCAAATATAATTGCGTTTAAGAACGTTCCAATCCGACTTTCTCAGTTGTATCATCTTCGATTGAAGATACGTACCCTCTACCTCTCTCGTCTGTCAACGAAGCCTGGGATGTCGAATTCTTCTCGGAATACCGTTCACTGTCCACCCAGAATCGACTCGAAACCTTTGCTAGATCACGATCGAGGTTCGTCTCGAAGATCGTGCTCGGGGCTCGACTTTCGAGGAACTCCGATTCATAAATCATTTCTCGATTTCGTAACCACGGTATCATCCCGGACGATTTCGTTCTACGCGAGGAACGCTCGTTTCCTTCCCTCCCTTAACCATTTCTCAATTTACGAGAGCGAGCCGTTGTTAGCGCAACATTCATTCGGAAGAGGAGGTTGATTTATGCGAGCTTCGAGCGTGCCTTTAACGTCCATCTGTGCGTGGTGAAAGCGGCTTGAATCGTGTCGGTGAAATATCTAGACGCTTTGGCGTCCATATTTGGATTTCTTTCATGCAAATCGACGATACCTTGGTAATCAAATTTCGTCGAGATATTAACGGGAAAAGTTCGCAAAGGGGATTACCTGGTGATAGTTGCTGCGTTAGGGAGACGTTCGCGATGGTAGGTTTCCAGAAATGGGTGTGCAGAACGCACCCCGTGTCTTCGTTCACGGTTACGGGGGAGGAAAGACACTCGATGACCAAGCAACCGAACGTTCTCCTAACATGGAAGACGTAAATTCAACGGAAGAACTTCATTTTCATCCATCATGCTTTGGCCCTGTCACGCTGCGCGTAGATTCAGCCCCGTTATGAAAAATAGACGTTCACCTTTAACGGTACATAATGCTTGGAAACGATGAACAATATTTCCTGCCACGCGGCATCGTTACATTGAGAATAAATTTCCATTTTGAGCACGCAGACGACACGGTATATTAAAGCGTTCCCCTCCAAATTTCCCTTCGTAGGCTGCCGCGATATATTTCAGACTCAAAGTCACTTATATTCAGGGATCCCTCCGAAATCTCGGTTGTACACTTGTCGCGTGGTATAATAATCCGATCGAAGGTCTCCCGTTATTAATGCACCCGTCGAATCGTGTATCCTTCCCTTCTGATATCAGAATCGACGTAAGCGTTACTTGCTGCGTAGATATTAAAATATTTCTTAAACCAAC